GGTGGGGGGCTGGGTGGTAGGTGGGGCCCAGATGGCTGTGGCCAGGGAACCCGTTAAATCAGGTAGCCATTTTGAATGGCCCGGGGAGTACCCCAAAGGATTCTGGGAGCCACTTCTGACGATTCTTTGCTCCCAGCTGAGCAAGACGCTCCAGGCAACACTAGGCAGCCTTGCAGAGCTGATGGGGACTGAGGAGCATGATGGGTTGGAGCTGGGAATCCAGGAGTCCCAGGATCTCACCCCCACCCGGACCCCCCCAGGGAAACGCCGGGCCCAGCTGCAAGAGACAGAGAGCTTCTATCTGGCGGTGCGGTGCCCCTCACTCCCAACACTCAGCCCCTACAGTGGTGCCCTCACTCCCAATCTGCAGCCCCCTTGTTGCTCTGTGATGCTGCTCACTCCCTCCCCACTCTCCCCACAGAAGCTGAGCGACTTTCTCCAGGACCGAAGCATCCAGGCTAAGTTGGAGTCCAAGAGGGATCAGCTGCAGGCAGCACTCAAGCGGGGCGAGTTATGGCGGGACTGTGGGTTGGGAGTGAGGGGCACTGCCACACCGTACGGGGGAAAGAACCCAGACGTCAGGGCCTTACGTCTCTTCTCTCTCTTCCCAGCAGCCTCAGCAGAGAAGCTGGGCAGGTGAGTGTGGTAGGGTACCCCCCCCCAAACCACCAGATCTCACATGTCTTCCTTCCCGTCAGGACCCCCCAGCACCTGCGGTGTCCTCGGCCCCTGTCGCAGTGTCCTGGGCAGGGCTTCCCCAGTGACCTGGAGACCTTTGTACAGGTACCTCCCCACAGCTCCATGGTGCCCCACATTCCTGACCCACAGCCCTTCCTTCATGGTGCCCCTTATTCCCAACCTCTAGTTCCCTCCTTCATAGACCTCACTCTTGACATGCTCTCAGTGCTGGGGCTGGCATCAAGCTGCTGGTGGTGGGAGGGAATCCAGCCTCTTCACTGTGAGGGAGGGAGCTTGGGGAAGGGACAGGGCCTGATCCTCCCTCCCTCCCTCCCTCCCCAGAGCACAGGGGAGCCCATCCCCCTGGTAGTGAAGAGCTGCATCCGCTACATCAACCTGCATGGTAAGCACCCAGATGCCTGGGTTCCCCCCACACCCCCAGCTCCTGGATTCCCCGTAGGGTCCCAGATGCCTTGGTTCTATGCCCCCCAGGTCTTGGACACCTGGGTTCTACAACCTTCTCCCCACCCCTGCCCCAGCTCCCGGATGTCTGGGTTTCATGTCTTCCCTCCCTTCCATTCCTGGACACCTGGGTTCTGTGCCTCTCAAATTCCAGACTCCTGGATTCCACCCGTCCCACTCCCAAACACCTGGGTTCCACACCCACCCCTGCTTCCTGGATGCCTGGGTGTTGTGTGTGTATGTATGTGTCCCTGATCTTGGATGCCTCAGTTTCACGCCCCCCACCCATCCCCACTCCTGGATGTCTGGGTCTCATGGCCCAATCTGAGCTTCTGGACACCTGGGTTCCTCCACCCAGGGCTGCAGCACGAGGGGATCTTCCGCGTCCCAGGGTCTCAGGTTGAGGTGTCGGAGCTGCGCAATGCCTTTGAGAGAGGTGGGGGCAGGGCTTTGGGGGCCAAGGGTGTGGCCTTGGAAAGGAAGCAGGGCTTGGAAGGGAGTAGTAGGGGTAGATCTTGATGGGATGTGGCCTGGGGGTTAGGGATGTGATGTAGGTTTAGAATTGTGGCTATGGGGCAGGTGGTGGAGCCAGGGCTTGGACAACTTAGTGGGTGGATCTGGGAGAGGTCTTAGCTTGGGGGCATAGCCTGGTTTGAGGGCATGGCTGACAAGGGGCCTTGGCTGTGGGAGACAGGGTGTGGCCAGGCCAAGGGAGTGGGGTTGGACAGGGAGTTCTAGGGGCAGATCCTAGGGGTCTCAGCCCAGGGCTGGAGGGTGGGGCCAGGTCTAGGGGCATGGCCTGTGCTAAATGCACCCCTTCCTGCCAGGTGAGGATCCACTGGCAGACCCTGTGACCCCCATCAGCCTGGACTCGGTGGCTGGGGCCCTGAAACTTTTCTTCCGGGGGCTGCAACCCCCCCTGCTGCCCCCTGAGCTCTACAATGACCTCATTGCCACTGACCGTGAGTGTGCGAGGCTGGGGAGTGGGGCCTGGCTGTGAGCATGGGGCGGGTGACATGTGTGGGAGTATGGGGCCATGCGGTGCCCCTCACTCCCTGACCCCCTCTCCTACAGAGCTGCCCACTGGCCCCTACCGCCTGGCTCAGCTCCACGCTGTCTTGTCCAAGCTCTCGGCCCCGACGCTTGTGCTGCTGCGCTACCTGTTCGCCTTCCTCAACCAGTGAGTGCCCCACTGTCACCAGTCTAGCCAGTGAGGACCTCCCAGTACTAGCAGTGCTGCCAGCCAGGGTTTCCCAGTACAACCAGTCAGTCTAACCAGTAAGTGGGGGTGGCTGGGCTGCAGGGAGGCAGCTCTAAGGCCCTGCTGACTTTTTTCCAGTCCTCCCAAGCTGTCCTAGCCAGTCATTCCTAGTCCTTACTTCAGTTGGATCCAGTGTAACCAGTAAGCATCATGGCTGGACTTCCCAACACCCCAGACTGTCCTAGTGATTCCCAGTGCTCCCAGTCTCCTCTCAGTGACTCGTGGTACCCAGCCTTTTCCAGTTAATTCATGTCACTCCTAGTCTCCTCCCAATCCCTCCCAGTATCCTGAAATGCTCGCAAACCTGTCCCTGTCATTCCCAGTCCCTTCCTAGTCTCCCCCCCAACCCCACCAGTGACCCCAGTGTCCCCCAGCCTGTCCCAGTCCCCCCCCAGTGATTCCCTAGCCTCCCCCCAGCCTGTCCCAGTACAGCGACGAGAACCTGATGGATGCGCACAACTTGGCTGTGTGCTTTGGGCCAGCACTGGGGGGTCTTCCACCTGGCACCGACCCCGTGGGGGCTCAGCCCCGGTTCGACGCGGCTGTGGCAGCCCTGGTACTGCAGCCTGATGCTGCCTTCCCTGCTCCCCCTGCGCTGTCCGGGCCCGTCTACGAGAAGTGCATGGCGCTACATGTCGATGACGGAGACTGGTAAGGGGGCAGGGCTTAGGGGTGGGGGCAGAGTCTTGTGGGGAAAGTGCTAATGGGGGCTGAGGGGTGGGGCCTGGATGGGGAGGGGTCCCTTGAATGTGGGGAAGGTGTTGGGGAAAGGGTTAACTGGGTATGGGCTTAGGGGTGGGGCCTGGAGGCTCTAGGGGGTGGAGTTTATTGCAGGCAGGGGTTAATTGGGGGTTGGTGGGGGGAATATTTTGAAGGGGAAGGGGTTAACTGGATTGGCAGGGGTGGGGCTGGGTTTGGGCAGAAGGGTGCTAACCGTGGTAGGCAGGGCTTTGGGAGAGGGCGGGGCCTGGCCTTTCACACCCCTCCCCTACAGTGACTCGCAGCAGCTGGAGGGTGTGGCTGAGGAAGGTGATGCCCCCCCAGGAACCTCGCCCTCTGCCCTACCCATATCATGTGATGACCTCCCAATGGCCCCTGGTGAGTTCAGAAGGGGGTAGAGTCTTGGTGGGTGTGAGAATCTCTGTGAGCTGAGGGGGAGGGGGACTGAACCATGAGAGGGGTGAGTGTACGGGGAGGGCAGATGCATGTGAATCCTCATGCTTGCATGAGGAAGGGAGATGCAGCCTCCTGCTAGTCTGTGCGTATGAACCAAGCCCGCCGCCTCCCAGGGGCCCCAGGACGCAGTGCCCCACAAAAACTGATTTAACCCCCACCAGGCCCACAGCGATGGTGGGGACGTCCGGAGGTGAACGGGGCCCGAAGCCTTATTCCACATACATTTCCTGTCCTGCCTGAATGGTGAGCTGGGGACCTGTGGGAGGGGGGAGGCAGGGCTTGGCTGGGGTGGGGTGAAGCTAAGCAGGGATGAGAGGGGCTTGGCAGCAGGGGACAGAGTGGGGCTATAGGGGAGAAGGTAACTTGGAAGGAGGTTAAGCAGTGGGGGATAGGGCTTGGGGCCGAGGGGGAGGAGCCTGGAGGGGCAGGGCTGTAGAGGAGAGGAAGCACCTGGGAGGCACAGGGTTAAGTGATAGGGAGTATGGCCTGGGTGAGGGCGGAGTTTAGGGAGAGGGGAAGAACCTGAAGTGGGTAGTACTAGGCTTCTAGAAGGGAGAGGGCACCTGGTAGGGAATGGATTAAGTGGTGTGGGGCTTGAGAAGGGGGAGGAGTCTGGGGTGGCACTTGGGAAAGGGGCAGGGTATGGGGTTTGGCTGGGACATTGTGTGGGAAGAGGTTAATGGGAGCAGGTGTTGGTGAGGGGGTGGGGCTTGGGCAGAGGCAGTGGAGTCTAGCTGAGAGTGGGGTGCCTAGGAGCAGCTGACTTGGTATGCATATCCCTTCCCCCTCCCCCTCCCAGTGCCTCTCCTGTGGATGGTGAGTTCAAGAACCCCCCTACTGAAACCACTCTGGAACCAAGCAGCAGGTAAGAGGATACACTTGGCCATTAATGTTGCACCCCGAATCCAGCAACATCAGGGGCTCCATCATACCTAGCTATTAAGTCACCCATTCCACAGCCAGTTGCACCCCAAGGTCTGTGGTATACTCAGTCCCCAGTGCCCACCCCAGAGCCAGCTGTACTCTGGGGCCCTTGTTTTATGCAGCCATTGATACCCCTAGGCCAGAGGTGGCTGCATCTTATGGCCTGCGTTATACCCAGCTACCCACATGCTCCACCCTAGAGCCTGCCACATCCTGGGGTCCCTGTTTATATGGGGGCACTAGCCCCCCCCCCCCACCACCACCACCTCAGAGCTGGTTGCATCTGAGGAGGTTTTGTTATACTCAGCCCTAGTGCCCCACCCCTGAGTTGGCTGCATCTGCAAATTCCTGTTATACCCAGCTGCCCACATGCCCCACCCCAGAACCAGTTGCATCCCAATGCTCCTGTTTGTACCCAGTGCCAGTGCCCCACCCCAGAGCTAGCTTCATCTTGGGGTACCTGTTTTACTCAGCTGCCCACATGGCCCACCCACAAGTCAGACACATTTCATCCCTGTCTCTTCTCCACTCCACCCCCCCACCCCGGTCAGGCTACGGGTAGACTCGTCCGGGACCCAAGGGCGGGGGACGAGCCCTGGGCGTAGACGCATCACACACTTCACGGAGCTGGGACACATGCCCCTTTCTGGGGGGGGCCGCGGGGGCCTGCATGCTGACAGGTGAGATCTCCACAGAGCCAGCTTCATTGGAGGAACCTGTTAGACCCAGCCCTGCCCCACTCCATCTCATCATTTCCAGCCTTAATGTTTCCCACCCCAGATCCTACGCATCTCAGGGTCCCCATTATACCTAGCTGTGCCCCACCCCACAGCCAGCCCACGTCCTAGGGTCACCATTATAACCAAACCCGCAGTGCCCACCCCAGAGCCAACCACATCCAAGGGCTTGGCTTGCATTATGTCCAGCACCTGCTGCCCACCAAAGCCAGCCACATTGTAGCTGGGGGGAAGCTGAAAACTGGGGTCTTCCATAGCCCCCTCTAGTATTCATTCTAAACCTGCCCCCCCTTTACAGGGCAGAGCCTAAGAGCACTGGGGACCGGCAGGGTCTAGTCCAGACCTTCACAGAGGTGGACAAGGTAAGACTCGGGGCTGGGATGTGCCCAGCTCTGGGGTGCAGGAGGGAACAGCTCCTGGGGGAAGGTTGTGGCTGGGCACAGCTAAATATAAGGCGGCACTGGGAAGGCTGGGATATGCCGAGCTCTGGGGGGCAGCAGCTGAATATAAGGAGGCAACTGGGTCCAGATACACCCAGCTCTGGTGTGTGGAACAACCAAGTACAACAAGGTTCAGGGAAGGTTGAGATGTGCCCAGGTGTGAGGGAGGCAGCAGTTGAGTGTAACAGGGTAATGGAGGGTCAAGATGTGCCCAGCTCTGGGTTGGGGGGATGGCTAGAAACAGCTTAATCTAATGGTCCAGAGAAGGCCTAGATGTGCCCTGCTGGGGTCAGGGACAGCCTCTGAGTATACTAGGCCCAAGGAAGCCTCAGATATGCCCAGCTCTGAGGGTCAGCAACTATGTATACCAGGGCAATGGAGGGCCCAGATGGGTGGGGAAGAGACCAGCATAACAAAAGTCAAGGAAGGGTGATGTGCCCACCTCTGGGGTGAGGCAGCAGGTGCGTGTAACAGGGCATAGATGTGCACAGCTCAGTAACACTCGCACCTACTTTTCCTACAGGCTGTGAGCAGACACATGACATCTGTGTTCCAGGAGCTGCGGGGTCGCGCTGCCCTCAAGCCCCTGGGGGCCCCCAACTCCCCACCTGCATTCCCCAAGGAGTGAGCCCCAGCCCAGGCTACCAGCTGCCCCTTCCTGTGCTTGCAGGGCTGTCTGCAGATGTAATAGCTTAGCCAATATGCCTGGGTACAATCCCCTGCATGGAAGGGTTGGTTAGAGTAAGCCCAATGCCTGGGTTCTTTCTCCGCTCAGGGAATCATGGGTAGTAAGAGCTGGTTGGACACCTGGGGTCCTGGCCCTGCGGGTGGGGGGGGGGGGGGGGG